ATATATATATACACACACACACACACACACACACACACACACATACTGTTCAGGAAAAAAAACTTGTGTAAGTATTTTAATACTAAATTTATTGAGATATCATGAGATTAATACAAGTTACCTTTGGCCTCTACAATTACAAGAGGTGCTCCGAGTGGTGGCCATGAGCTCCCAGACATTTATTAGTACAGTGAACTGCTGCTTGGGTAACCTTGGTCATTGAGATTGCTGCACATGCATTTTCAATTTCTTCTCTAAGGGCTGGCAGTGTAATGGGTTTTCTGCAATATATGACATCCTCTAGGGTCCCCCATACAAGGGTAATCCCATCTATTGAAAAAACATCATACTATTTTTCTTTTCCTGAAGTGTGTATACATTTTTTTCTTTTTTGCAGACTCTGTGTATACATATAGTTAGCCCTCTGTACCCAAGGATTCTACTTCTGCAGATTCAAACAACCACAAATTGAAAATATTTGGGGGGAAAAATTATGTGTGCACTGAATATGTACAGATTTTTTCTTGTCATTATTCCCTATAAAATACAGTATAACTATTTCCATAGCATTTTATATTGTATTAGTATTATAAGTAACCTAGAGATGATTTAAAGTATATGGAGAGATGTGGGTGGGTTCTATGCAAATACTGTGCCATTTTGTGTGAAGGACTTGAGCATCTGTGATTCTGTTATTTGCTGGGAACCTGGAACCAGCCCACGTGGGTACCAAGGGATGACTGTGTATATAAATACACATATATAGAGATTATATATACACATAATATATGTACAATAGTGTATATTATATATATATATATACACACACACATAGCAGTATCATATAGAATATATGTATGTATATATATCTATAGAATTTATTTCAAGTTGTTGATTTACATGATTGTGGAAACTGGAAAGTCTGAAATCTGTAGGGTACATTAGGAAGCTGGAAATTCTTAAGCCTGATAATGCAGGCATGGGGCAGACTTTCTTCTTCCTCAGGGGAAATACCAATTTTACTCTTAAATCCTTTTAACTGATTAGATGAGGCCCACCAGATTATTGGGGATAATCTCCTTAAAGTCAACTGACCATAGATACTAAAATAACTATATCTGCAAAATACCTAAGGTATTTGATGGAAAAACTGGGTGCTATGTCTTAGCCAGGTTGACATGTAAAATTAGCTATCAGAAAGTACAAACTTTTTTTATTCACCCACTTGACAATAAATTTGCAACTTGGTAGCATATTACTTCTGAACACTTTAGTGTGTATTTCTTGTAAAGGGGACCTTTTCTCATGAATCACAATGTAACCATCAAAATCAGGAAATTAGCAATGATACATTCCTGTCATCTAATCCTCAGACCCCATTCAAGTTTTACCACTTGTCCCAATAATATCCTTTAGAACAAAAAGGCCCAGCCCAAGATCATACCTGGCATTTAGTTTTCCTGTCTTGCCATGCTAGTCTTCAGTCTAGACCTGTTCCTTATTTTTTTCCTAGACTCTTATGACCTCGACACTTCTGATGATGATGGGCCAGTTACTTTGTAAAACTTGTATTTGTCTGATGATGCCTACGTTCAGGTTACAGATCGTTTGCAGCAATATCACAGACAAGGGCCTCTTTCTGATTACCCCAACAGGTGACTCTTAGTTTCAATTTGTCACATTCTGGGTGATATTCACTTTTATCACTCCATTGAATAGGATCTGCCATGTGGACACATTTCCCCTTTGTACCTGAATAAGTATTTTATGGGGAGGTGCTTTCAAAAGATAGAAATGTCCCATCCCTCACAAAACTTTCAGTGTACTCATTCTTTCATTTATGTGGACCTGCATTTTCCTATTTCAGTCAGTGAATTATAATCTGTTACTATCATGTATATACTCAGATTGTCTCTAGTTTGCCTCTTCAAGTTGGCACTTATATCCATTTGACAAATCTCCATCATTTTTGAGTACTTTTTTGTTTTCTTTTATTGCAAGATGTTCAGGCTTTTCTGCACATTTCTGCACGTTTTACTTTCCTACCCCTGTCATCAGTCATTTTTCCAAGGAGCCCTGTTTAGTGGAAAATGCTGTTTAGAGGCCAAGATCTGGATATAGGGCATTTGGATTGCTACTGTGGTATCATTGCTTTCAGACTCTTTTCAGTGGAAAGTGCTAAAGATATGTGTATATGGATATAATGTACGTACTTATTCATAACACATGTACACATGCACACACACAGACATGCTTGTACACATGCACACACACAGACATGCTTATACACACACACACTGTTATATTCATTTTTATGTGTGAACTGTATATATTGAAAACCCAACTTCACAGTATTCATTTTAGCTTTCATTCTTTTCATGTTTGTAACTTTATCAGCTTCCTGTTACTATATAACAAACAGCTGAAATAATCAGTTTATAAAGAAAAGATTTATTGTGGTTCAAAGTTTGGAGGTTTCAGTCTGTGGTTGGTTGTTCCCATGGCTTTTGTGGGAAGGTAGCCTGTCATGCAAGCAGAACGTAGCAAACTGTTCACTTCATGACCTGGATACAAAAGAGAGAAAGATGAATAGGCTGGGGTTCTAATATCTCCTTCAAGGGCATGGTACCAGTGACCTAAAGCCTTCCCACTAGTCTCCACCTCTTACTAACCCCACCCCCTGTAGTGCGATGGGGCAGGACACACAGCCTTTCGAGGGATACTTGTCCAAACCATAATAATAACCCGCCTCTCTGATGTTATACCCTTAAAATTTTTATTTTCTGCATCTGCATACATACTATCTCCTGTCTGTTGATATTTCTAGTACCCTTGTGGGTCCAGGTAACCTGCTCCAGGCCAGTCCACATGTGGATGTCTCCCTCTCCAGGCATGGGCCCTTCATACCCCACATTGGGCCTCTCCCACACTTGATTGCCATCCTCCTCACTGTGCTTGGTCCTTATACCAATTCTGTTCTGGGTACTGACATTCTCTCTCTCTAGCATCTGGTATGAATACTTAACTTGTTCTACAATTCCAGAAGGGAAGGCAAAGAGAAAGAGAAAGATGTTTAGAGTCAAAGTAAGTGAATCGACTTTGTAAAAGATGTTAAGTAAATAATTGGACAGATAATATATTGGACCTAGCAAAAATTGTGAACAAAGTAGGTGAATAACAGATTGGTGAAATGCCAGGTTAAGTGATTTTTAAAAAAAATTTAAACTAGAAACATCAATTTAGGCTTAAGATAGAGGAAAGGGCATTTTTTTTCACATTTAGTTCTTCATATTATAATTGTCTAAAAGGTTTCTTTTACCCCTAGGTTTCATTTTTTGAAGAAGAACAGAACATATTATCTCGGAGCACAAGCCCTTGGATCCCCCAATTACAATATGCCTTTCAGGACAAAAATAACCTTTACCTGGTGAGTCTTTATATCCATCTTTCTGGAATGAGCCAAGATCTCTGATGCTCAGACACAAGAGTTGCTAAATTGAATGTAGTTCTTACCCCTGTGGACCATGGCATCCCTTATTCATTCAGTTGCTTTTCTGACTTCCAGGTGTCTCCCTGTTCTCCTTGTTCTAAAGATTAAGAGCCAGCTCATTTAGAAATGCCTCACTGACTATTGGGTACTACAGTTGTGGCTCAAAGGGCAATAATGAGAAGTCATTTATATGGAATGGTCTGTAACTACCTTTAATAAAATCTCACTTTAATATTTTTTTCATGGTTGTTACAAGAAAATGCAGCGTATTCTTACTCATTTGTGGAAGCTAAGAGTTGATCTCATAGAAACAGAGAGTGGAATAGTGTTTACCAGAGGCTGGGTAGGGTGCAGTGAGGGAAGGATAGAGGAGGGCTGGCTAATGGGTTCAAAAATACAATTAGACAGGAGACTTAAGTTTTGGTTTCCTATGACACAGTAGGGTGAGTACAGCTCACAATAATTTATTGTATATTTCAAAATAACTAGAAGAAGGGATTTTGAATGTTCCTAACACAAACATGATAAATGTTTGAGCCTGTGTTAATCACCCTGCCTCGATCATGGTGCATTGGATACATGTGTTGAAATATCACACTGTAGCCCATCAGTATGTACAATTGTATATCCTGTGAGGTAGAAGGGAAAATCTTCTGTCTTTTTTTTCTAATATTTCTCTCTAGGGAAACAAATATTGATGGTGATATATGTTCTTTCTGACACTTATGCCCTGTGAAAAATAAATTGAATATACTCAGGTATGTAGTTTGTTTTACAAAAATGGTACATTACCCTCCATTTGGCTCTTAAGCTTGCTTTTTTGCCTTTTAAAAGTTTATTCCAAGGGCCTGGGATTTAGCTCAGTGGTTCCGCTGCCTGCCCTGCAAACACAAGGACCCCAGTTCAGTCCCTGGTACCAAAAAAAAAAATTTATCCCAGGCATCCTTATATGTTAGTACATACAAATCTACTTTTTTTTGGTACTGAGGATTGAACCCAGGACCCACTTCATTCTTTTGGATGGTGACATAGATTTCCCTAATGTATAAATAGCATGTCTGATAGAATTCTAAAATTCACTTGGGGGTCTTGTTTAAGTTCTTGGGGATTAGATTCCTAAATTTAAAAAGTGTATCCTAGAAACAATTTTTGTTCCTGATTCAATCCTTAAAACAAGACTATTATGTTAATCTTAAATTGAGATAAACTTTTATGGAGGAGGCTCACACAAAAGAAAAGGGTGAAAGAGAGATGGACTGCTGTCTTGAACTCCCACTGGGCAGTTCTGGGGGCGGGGAGCTTTCACTGACTATTTCTGATCTGGAATAAACAGTTTATTTGCCTTTGTTACATAATAGTGGAAAACCCAATGCTTGTAGAAACGTTCTCCCTATCCCCACTCAGCTTTCTGTGCGAGACCATTGGCCTTACACTAACCACGTGGTCCTTTCTAACCAACAGCATGCCTGTTTTTTGTGGCCTCAAACTTCCTTTCTTGACTGTTACCATGGATACTTGCCTTGAGACCTGGGGTGTGAAGCTCTCACTTTCTCTGATGACCTTGGTATGTTTGGGTTTCTAGGGTCCTTGATGTTCTGGCACACTTGGTGCACAGGCAGCCTTTGCTGTGTTCTCTCAGTGCAGCCTGTGCTGTTGGATGTGTCCACTGGCTTCTTCCTTAGCCCTCAGAAAGGAAGTTCCTTTGCAACAGCAGGGCTTCTGTTTGTTTGTCTCGTTTGTTTGTTTTGGATATTTTAATTAGAGCTCTGCAAGGGGTTTTGTATACCAGCTTGTGAGAATAAACCTCCTTTGGGAGGTAACGCAGAACATAGGCAGTCCTGGAATCAGGAACAACTCTGATTTTTTTTATTTTTTTATTTTTTTGGCAAAAGTTGAGCACACAGTTTTCTGGTCTGTCTTGTATTGCTCCATAAACTCCTGTTTCTCTTCCTCTGTCTTAAAGAGCTCACTTTTTTGATGTCTGGACTCATGAGGCTGCTGTTTCTTAAAAGTAAATATTGTTGAGGTGCTTTGGGATTTCACAACATCAAGGTCAGTTTTGGTAGAGGCAGTGACAAATTCTGAGTGCTTGCTCTATGTAAAGGAACTCAGTTGAGGACATTGTTGTCACTTGGATGTGGTAAGCCACTGCTCAGAGATGGCTTGTGGCCCTTGTAGCCACTGATGTTGATCAGATTGTTCCTAGGAGTGACACTCAGCTGCAGTTTTCTTATGTGTTGATAGTATTTTTCTTCATAGATCAACAGTTCTCAAGTGACATCTTCAGAGGGTAGTATCTGAGTATTTTGAGAATTTCCTATTTTGAAATCATTATTCTTATTACCACCAACTGGCTTTTACAAAAAATTTATTTATTTATTTATTTATTTTTTGGTACCAGGAATCAAACTCAGGATCTTGTGCTTGCCCGGCAGGCACAGTGCTGCTGAGCTAAATCCCGGGCCTCACCAACTGGCTTTGTTACAATAGAAAGAACCCTCTGTTTCTTTTTTCTTAATCGTGAATTTAACTGCTGTGGACTTCTGCTTGGATAAAGCTCTCCTAGAATACTTCTCAGAATGGGAATATTTGTTGGTTTCTCTGCTAGTACAGGCTCTCAGCCAGACGCCTTTCTCTTTTGGGCAGTTTGGCTAGGGGGCTACTTTCTTGATCCTGCCACTGGCATTGACATACTTAGCAGTGTCTCAGTTTTTGCATTGGCCATCTTGTGAGATGGGAAAGATTTTTAAAACAGCTACTTTCTGGAATTTTATTTGCCTCAGCACATTGATGTTTGATTCAATGACATTTTTATACCTTTCTTTAGTACTTCAATTGGGTATTACTCATGGGATCTTGCAGTTATTTCTTTGTCTGCTTTTTCTTCTCAAGTGCTTTGTTACTTTGGAGTAAAATGGTTTCTAAGGCTATATAGTTTTCCTATAAAAATCCAAACTTAGCATAGGAATTAAATTATGATCATAGGTCCACAGTTTATTATCTGTTATTCTGAAATACCCAGAGCTCTGAATAGCCTCAGGTTCTTATGTTGCTTGTTTGGCAGCAAAACCTGACTTGAACTCAGTTTGTAGCAAAACCTGACCCAAGCTTTCCTAGGGTTATGTGCAGCCTTTATTTATTGTTGTTAGAGTGATGATTCACATATTTTTTTGCAAAATTGTGGATGTATTTGATTACGAGGTGATATCCTAGACGCTAAGGAGGGTGTGTATAGTATGTATGAAGTACATGGACCACTTTACAAAATCTAAAAAATTCTGGATCTAGAAACGTTTTCTGCTGTTAGATGGGGGACCCTAGATCTGCAATGGTATTATAAAGAACTGAAATTCCATTGTGTCTGTTGACCACCTACATATTTCTAAACCTTTGAAGTTTGGGGAAATTTACATATTATAGTAAACTCTGCTGGCAGAGGAACACTAATTTGTAATGCTAGTGCAGCTTAATTGAAGATACATTTTAAATCAATGAAAAGGAAAACAGGACTCTGCATCCTATAAATCTTCCCTTGCTGTCTCATCATCTTTCCAGTCCTGCCATGCTGTATGAGTCCCACCCTTTGTTTTTTCTTGCCTGCATTACTCTCTGCATTCTCTCTGTGGTCTGTCTCCTCCACCTCAAATCTTCCATATACTGCAGCCAAGTCATCCCTATGGTTAAAATCCTTCGAGACTCTCCACTGCCCTCTGGATGAGGTCAAGACTCCTCAACATGGTTCACAAGGCCTTTTTCACATGTGCCTCAGAATATTCTTATCAAGTATCATTTCTCTCCCTTCACTTTACATTCATTTTTGAAGTCCCTTTGGTTATTTTACTTGCCTCGGACCTTTCTGCATGCTGTTCACTCTTTCTCTGTTGACCTGGCCAACTTCTATTCCTCTTTCTGTGCTTGGCTCAGAAGTCATTTCTAGAAATTCCTCCTGGACCCTCCACTTCTGGGATGGGTGCCCCTCTTTATGCTCATAACACCTTCTACTTCTCCCTGAGTGACTGTTGGTCTCTTCCACCAGGGCACTTCCTGTGTGAGGACAGCAAGTATATTTCTCTTGCTTCCAGTAGAGCTTTACCAAGTAAATGCTTGAGAAATATTCATTGGATGAATACATGATTAATTTCATAGAAATATGATTTATGTACAAATTTACTTATTGTGATACAGATATCATATTATGTTAGCAGTGGGTTTTGCTCTCTAAAGTATGTAATTCAAGATAGTAAGATTTTTAAAAAATCCGAGTACAGTGCAAGGAAACTGAACTTGGGTCCTCTTGAATTTTGATGGTTAAAAATATCCCATGTGCAATGACCAATAAACATGGATTACCATTTTTTTGGTGTATAGAAAATGGTAGCAAACTCCATTGTAGTGTCTTGTTATATATACCAAGGCTAGTCCAGTACAGTATTCTGGCAGGCAGCCATGGAAACTGTGTTTTGCTAATCTGGTTCATGAAGAAATCTGTTCAATTCTGTATAACAGATGCCTTTATCAGTGTCCTTTGTGAAATAGTTGATCTTTACAAAGAAAACATTGTTTTACAACTTACCATCTGCGGTATGTTATATCTAAATTCTTTGGAAGAGTGTTTTTTTTGTGTGTGTGGTGCCGGGGATTGAACTCAGGACCTTGTGCTTGCAAGGCAGGCAGCAGTTCCACTGAGCTAAATCCCTGGTCCCTGGAATTTTGTATTGATATTTTTCATGCTGAGGGACTGTTTAAGCTACCCTGGCTCTCAGCCTGTAATTGACCATCAACTTCCTTTCCTTCCTGTGACCTTACATTTCTCTTTCCATTCATTCCAAATGTTTTTCCCCATTTGCATACGGAGAGATATAAGTTATAGTATAGGCTCAGGTGTTATAACAAAGAGACCCTAACATACTGTCCAGGCTGGTGGAGCAGCTCTGTTG